AGTTTTAAAAAATAAACTATTTGTAGATTACGATGAGATGAAGCTATTCATGAAATTAAAGGCTAACATTATCGGTATTTATGTCAGACTTTATATTTTCATAATGTTTTAAATAGATGTTTTCTTCTAGTTCCGTTACAATGTTAATTACGTGTTTGGATAAAACGATGTTAATTATTCCAAGGAAGTTGTTATTATTAGATGTAATTAAAGAACTGTTTGTTTTTAAAATAAACAAAATAATAATTAGAAACGATAAATATTCCATTTGAAAGCAGACATGAGGGAAGACTCAACCCAAACAAGAAGAGCGTGGACATCAGCTGGTAGTATTGATTGCTTACCAGTCTTGTAATGCCCTCACATTTGAAGGTTTGCAATTTTTATCTTCATCAAATTTATCTCATAATTTAATTTAAATGATTACTTTTTAATGTTTAACAATTCAATAGTTCGTTTATAATTATTATTACATTAAAATTTAAAACAATCCATGGTGGTTTCCATTGAGTATTCACAACTACTATAAACCATGCCATTGATAACAGTAAATGATAGTCATAGAATATTGATCTGAAAATAACTGTTGCCAGGTATTGTTTGCATGTTACAAATGATCGCCTTGACATTTAATGTCTATCCTTCGAAGGTATGTCAATTACTTTATTAAGCTTCGACTTAGTCATCATTCTTATTATTATCTTTTTATAAAGTGCTATAACATCTGAAATATTCATGATTATTCTATTTAATTAAGTTATCGTTTATTAAATAATGGCTACCAGTACTTTTAATTTAAATTACGAACCCTCTTTATTGTAATCTATAATCCGATTAATATAGAGTATTTATTTATTTCCAACATTGTAACAATATTCATTACTATAAATATAAAAAATAAATTTATCTTTGAGTGAGTTTCCCTACAAATACATAACATAAACCGAACATTATAGTGTTAACAGTATATACACATATATAAAAATATGATATAATAAATTTACAATATTTTATTCAATATTATTGAATAGATTTTAAAATAAACAAAGAATGTTTGAATTCTGATTTTCAAGTAAAAGTTTTGCAGTATTCTAAAACTACTGTAATATAAGTTCCACAATTTAAATTGGTCCTGATAACCATGTGCATTTATAAATATTATTTACTTATTTTCATCTTATATAAAACAAAGATAGGTCATGGCTATTTATAATTAATAAAATTAATTAGAAAATTAAAAACAAACATTATATAAATATTTTTATATTTGCATTAACTGAGAAAGATTTATTTGATAAGATTAAATTGATTAATGAACCACATCAAATTGTTTTGCATCTAGTTATGAAACAGAATAGATAATATATTATTTAGTTCAAGTGATTTGTATATTGCATTTAAAACCTTTAGATAATATGAATATATTATAATAAATAAATCTTAGAAAAAGGTGTAATTTGATTTATGTTATATTTTTATTTAGAAATATAGAACATTGTATTTTGTTGAAATCAGTCAATCATTTTACACCAAAACATTTTTGTATACATTTTTACATATTTGTAAATAAAGTATTTCGATAATTATATAAAGTATTTTAGGTTTAACTTAGATAATAAAAAAATAAAAAAAACATAAGTAGAGCTAAATAATTTTAATAAATAATCTGACTATGATCTTTAAATTCTATGTGAATATACCAATCAGTTTTATTTACAATTTAAAAAAAAAAAAAAAAACTCAGAGACCAAAAGGCATTATAGTATTAGAAAGTATATTATACACTATCCGCAGTTCTTAACTATTGAATGTTTATTGTTTTTTATTTTAATAGTCCAAGATTTTGTTGATGAGTCGTTGATTTGTCAGATGGATACTAAAGAATTTCAAATATTAATTTAAAGAGCTTCAATTGTTTTGGTGGTCCAACTTCCTTCAACAATTACTAATTGACTGTGAAAAACTTTGTCAGCTTTCATCACAACAATGGGTCAAAAATTACTTCTTTTCAAGTCTTTGAACTATTGTTAAAAAGTAAAGTGCTTAAAAAATGGTGACATAATACAAAAGCCCTTTTACTGAAATTTATTTTTATTTTGTCTCTCAGCTTTTATGAAAGGTGAATCATAAATAGAAAACAAATCTATATAGTTTAAAATTATATTTCATCTATTCATATTTAATTTATTATTATTTTATTTATTTTTACATTCCTTTTTAGAGTCCTAACTCTATAGCATGGGAGTTCACTTCAATGCATTGTAAATATCAATGAGACCGCTCATGTAATAATCATAATTATAATTTTTTTTTTTATCGCCATCTCTGCAGGTCTTGTGCTATTTCTTTCCATTTATCTGCACGTAGCTCTATTACATCTTTGTTGATTCTATCTACCCATCTGCTTTTTGACCTTTCACCTTCTATTGAGGCATTCACCTTACATAGAGGCTTCCAGATGGATTGTATGAGCTACATGTCCATCTTAACCTCTGTGCCTTCATATCATGAGATATTGATTGACCAGTTTCTGTAAGCAGTTTCTTATTGGTCTTTATTCTCCATGTGTTAGTATTCCGATCCCAGATCGCTCCGGTTATGGTGCGGAGGATTTTTCTCTCAAATCTTTAAACAATTTTTTCTACGGTGTTAGTTAGTGTCCAGGCCTCACAGCCATATATTAGAACTGGCTTTATCATAGCATTGTACATCCTTTATTTGAGATTTTTTGGGATTCCAATACCTTTGAAAAGGGAGAAGAAAGCTCTGTTTGCGCTAGTTCTGGTCTAAATAATTATATCAATTTTATTATCCTAATTATTAAATTATTATTTATTTATTATCATATTTAATAATAATATCAATATTATTAACATAAATAATCAAAGCAGCTCCATTGAGAAAGTACGATTATTTTTAAATATATACAGGATATTAAGGACTAACTATCAAAAATGAAGAAAACTGTATAAATAAAAAAAATAACTTTAGAGACGAGTAAGTAGTCGCTTTTTTTCGATTTTTTATGAAATTGAACTAAAACAATATGTTGGATTGAGTAATTTATCAGACATTGTGCTAGAATATGGTATAAACCTTTGTTTACATTGTGAACAACTGTTCTGAGAGTCAAATTTGACTACAGCTTTATTTTTTCATACTTTGAAATTATAATCATTGGGATTGTGAAACTTATTAGAACATGATAAGGTACAATGATCGAAGGTATGGCTGAGCTTTATGTGTATGAGGATAAAAAATATTTATATAATATTGTTCTTGAAAATATGCTCCTTTGTGTTCAGATTTAACATGCTTCTTGTTTATTAAGAAGCATTTCTTAATGAAATGGGCTTGTGCCGTTTATATTCAATTTAAGTATCTTAGATTTTAAATCAAAGAGTTAGTCAAGCTATCATCAATCAAACTACTAAACAGTGACTATGGAGAAATTTTATACAACACAATATAAAATTAATATGAACCTATAAATTGGTTACATCCATCAATGCATGTTATATTCACAATTGACACAAAATACAGAAACTAATACAAGCATTACAAATATATGCACAGACGGTAGTAAAGATGGTAATAATGTAGGCTGCGTATGGATGCTTTGGTACATGAAGGTGACAATGTTTAGTGCCAAGTTCAAGCTCGCTGCTACACATTCCAACTACCATGTCGAAAAGTACACTGTTGTAAAAGTCACAGAATACCTTCTGGACCTTCCAACTGACACACCAAGACGTCTTCATACAAACAGATAACGTGATCTTAATACTATCTGCCCTAAATCCAAGGATACAAGACCAGCTCACCAAAACTATCAGAAGTAACATTCATAAACTCAGGATAATAAATTTCGAAATAAAAATAAAATGGGTGAAAGGTCAATCTGGGGTCGAAGGGAACGAGATTGCTGACACGTCAGCGAAAGAGGCTGCACAAATTGATCTATCTTGTTCATATGGTATAACCGCACTTATATAAAATATGAGATCAGAGAAAGTTTAATTTTAAGTTGAAACAAACGATGGATTCTCTCAGAAAAGTCACCTAGTTTGCATTGATATATTCCAGAATTAAAAAAAAGCAACTATAACTTACTCAAATCTAAAAATTACAAACTGACACAGATTTTAACTGAATACGAACAGATCAAATCATACTTAAAAAGATTCAATTTAATTAGTGACGGTACTTGCTCTCTAGACAGAGACAAGAACAAACTTTTAAATTTGTGATTGTCAATTATATGAACGGCATAGATCTAAATCGATTACGACTACACTTTTAAAAGGGAAAAAACTGGCCCTTCATATCAGAATTTGACTTGTACAATAACTTTCAACAAGACCTCACAAAATTTATCAATAGTTTAGAATATGACCAACTAACGAAAATTGAGGAAATGTTATGCATATCAGATAAGTTCACCCATAATTTTGTATAATATATTAATTTATAAAGAAAATGTTCAATTATATTTATCTGCTTTATAACATTTGTAATTTTAAGAAACTATGTTCATTGATTTTTGTATATTTTTCTTATTTATATTTATTTTAATTATGCTTATACTAACTCTTATGTTTGAATTGAATTGTGTTTCTAATTAGTTAATATTAATGTTATTTGATAAAATGTTATATTTAAGGTGCATAATATACATTTGTATGGAATGTACCATAATAAACGGTCCTTTCAAAGGATTACTTTGGAAGGGGAAAAAAAAATATCTTAGATAATAGATATATTATAAATGAGAAACACTTATAAGTGTATTTTTCAATATCGAATTATACAGATTATAATCTGTCAGACTGTACATATCGTTGTGATTACAATTACCATTGTTATAGCAAAAGCTTTGCTTTTGTTCATGTTAGTTGATAAAGCCATAAAATTATAAGTGTATAGTGAAAGTATCTATTTTAATTATAAATCATACAATAATGAATTGTAACAGTTCAACTAACCATAATTTTAATTATAGTATTATGGAACTGAATGGCAACTGTACCGTTACAAGCGAGAGCGTTGAAGATCTCAGTGAGTATACTGATGCAGATGAGAGCATTTCAGCACCGACTGAAATACTTGCTGAGGTAATACATTTTTTGGCATATATTTTTTGTTGTGAAATTGGCTGATACATAATTTACTATTTATTATTTCTTTTTTTGGTTGTTAGTTCCTCTCTGCAGTTATGTTGAAAGACTACGAGACTGCTCTGAAGTATTGTAAACTCAGTGAGTATCTTTGAATAATTAAAACTGAAATCTTTATAACAAGCACGTAATTTTGATTTAAAAGTTAATATTTCTAAATTTAAAAATTTACCCTACTCATATAGTATTAATTGATTTTGAATTTATTTTAGATAGAACACTATGAAACAGTTTGGTTAATTATATTGATCATTCAATTTCCTTAGCTTTGAGCAAACATATTTTTACTTTGAAGTGTATTAATTTTTATTGGTGATCACTTTTGTAGAAAAAACAGCAAACTGTTTACAACAATACTTCAAAAATATTAAAAAGTAATTAACTTAAAGATTTTAGTTCATCAAAGACTGCCTTAAGTAGCTATATTTTAATTTAGTGTAAGTGTAAAAATATGATAAAGATACCATGACAACTATAGCAACTAAGATGCTTTCGGCAAGAATTAAATGTTATCTTTAAAATTTAAAAAGGGCTTTTAATCACGAGATATAGCTACAGCTGTGAAATTATACTGGATCTTAATGTCCTTGTCAAAATCTTTAAACCACAATTTAATCCGTCTTGATCTGTAGACTTTTGAGAGCTTTAAATTTTTGTTTTCAATGACTTATTGTAGTTGTAGTAGTGTTTTTAGTTTTGGTATTGGCATTCATAACTTCTTTCCATGAAAGTTTTGCAGTATGAACCGAATCATGTGACGGCTAAAGAGTTCTACCCACTGATATTGGAGAAACTGATACAAGGTTAGAAGATAATATAGTACTATATATTACATAGAAATATAGATGTTCCCTGAAAGCTTATGTTGTTCTTATTGACCATCAGCTTCGGCAGAAGCAGGCGAAGGGAACTCCAACGAGGGTAGTGACTCGAGCGATGATGAGGAGGAGAGCGGAGAGAGAAGCGATACGAGCAGTTCTAGCGGGGCTGATGTAGAATCGTGTGGTATGTACAGTAAATAGTATCTCCTTAATTTTTTCTTTTCATTTCATTTTGACTATCTATTTTACTCAACATTAATAAAATCCATTTGATACTAGATGGTTCATAGGTACTAGTGGTACCTGGTACTTGGTGGGGATAGTTCAGCAAGTGGGCCCTATTGTGGTATTTTTTGCCAATCCCTCACAGCTACCTTGCGGTTGCTGCCGCGTACTTACCAGAATGTAAAGGTCAAGATTCATTTCCCGAGTCCTGCGAGAAATAAAAATTAACCGACTCAGGTAGGAGTCGAATCCACAACGTTCAGAACCGGGCACTCTATAACCATCTCTCAATGTGCTCAGCCATCCCGTTTGTGATAGGCCAACCCTGCAAAATACCGTGTAGCTTAAGTTAAGCAAGGAAAGGAGGATTAAATAAATAAATAATAGTTCATAAAATTGAGGTTGTGGTGGCCAAGCTTGTTGAGGTACAGCCTGCTTTTTGTTTACTTCTTTCTTTTATTATGAGAAGCAGTGTTAGTATGTGTATATTTAATTTTTCTATTAATATTATTGTAAATTTAAAAACAATCCAGGTTAAAAATATTGAGGTCCAAAATATCAATATTTTTACTAATGTTTTATTTGTTTTCTTTGATTTCTCGCTTTTGCGGATTCAAAGCTGAAGGTGGGGGACAAGTCCAACCATCTGCAGTTATAATTTTTTTAGATATTTAAGAACTTTCTAATGATTCTGGCTGTATCCAAGAGAACCGCTTGCTGAGTCTCTCTTAACCCATCAAGGAATAATTCCAAGCCGTTTGTACCTGCCACCGTTGACTTTGGGATCAGACCATTTGTTGATATTATTACTGGTGTAACCAATACACTTTCCAAATGGTACAATTCCTTTAATTCGATCACCAATTCTTGGTACTTAAGGAACTTCTCTCCCACGGTTGTGCTTATATTATCATTTGTATATATATATTATTACTAATGTTTTAATTATTATTGTTATTATTATAATGGCGCTACGGTTCTGCAAGAACCTGGGCCTCCTCCACTATAGCCCACCAGTCTCCACGGTCTTGTGCTACTTCCCTCCATCTTTGAATGCCCAGCCGCCTCAGATCGTCCTCAACATCCTCCAGCCATTTGATCTGAGGGCACCCTTACTCCTTTTCCCATCCGACTTCTCATGCAGCATCCTCTTTGGCATTCTTTCCACATGACCTAACCATCTGATTCTGGCTCTTTTTTATCTCAATGCCACAACATCAGATTCACCATAGAATTCCCGCAGCTCCTCATTCTTTCTTCTTCTCCGAATTCCATTCTTCTCAATACTTTCCTTTCCCAGGAGTTAAGCGTGCGTTCTGAGTTTTTGGTTAAGGTCTAAGTCTCACACACATACATAACGACTGTTATGTATATGTACATAATGTATAATTTTTTGGTACTTTTGTTAAATATTTGCATCCCTGCTCTTTTCAGTGATTAAAAATATTAATATATCAAAATACCATTTTTTTTTTTTTGTTATATTGAATAAATATTTCGATCAATAAATTTGAAAGCTTGATATCGATGCTTTAAAAAAAATGTATTTAATTCCTATCTCCCTCTCTACTATGGCCACTAGACTTCCCAAATCTCGATTGCTGTAGTTTTTAAAGATAATTAAAAAGTTTTAAATTTTGAACTTATTTCGGTCCTTCACAGGTGAAGAGCGGGTCTCATCAGATTCTGATGGTACTACCGCAAGTTATTCCAGCTTGGAGGATGAGGTAGCCCAGACCGCGGTCTGTAAGCTGCCTGACAATTACCTACCGCCGACCTCGGAGAACGGAAACCCACCGGCCCCTCTCCAGACGGATGACTCAGAATCCCCGACGGAACCTGTCAGTCAGTTGACCAGCGCATTTGCATTACTGCGCTGAGGATTTTAGTAAATATGGTGTTCCAGAAGATTTTGTCAGTACAAAATTTTATTATTTATTCATGTCTATGAAATTATTTTTAGATAGTATTTGCCTTACATTGTTAGATTCTTACTTGTTTTATTTATTTATTTATTTTTTTCAGTTTCTTGTTATACGCTCTAGAAAAATAATTTATAAATTGATTTAATTTTTATTAATATATTTTACTAATATAATTTCAGAAAATGGAAGGAGAAGAAAACAAAGATAGGATCTAAATCTCTAACTTACGGTTTAACTATTTTTTTATTTATTTCTTAAAAAGATCAGTATCTATTTTTTTCATATTATTTAGACAAAACGACAAATAATGTTGCTAGAGTTGTTTTATTTTTTCATGTTAAGATTCTTGGTGGATTGTATTATTTTCTTCTTGTTTATTATTTTATTCCTTTAGACTTGACATCACTATCAGATATGAAATTTGAAATATATTTCATTCGTTCTATTGATAGTAATAGTTGATTCTCTATTCTAATCTTCTTTTTTCATCACCTTTTTAATATTTTATTTTATAATTTTTCTTCTTTAACTCATCCGTTTTATTACATTAATTTCTTACTTCAACTTTTGAATGGAATATTTATTATTGTTAGATATTATTAGGCTTATCATGAACAGAGGTCAGAAGTATGAAGTAATAATGTTTCAAGAAATGCAATCAAGTCACCGAAATGTAGATTTCATCTAGTCTTTTTGCATGCCCATACTTTTCATCTGGAAAAGTGATTCCCTGTCTTCCAAGTCCCTCTAGGTACTTCTTACTTCCCTTTGAAACTCTGGATATATCTTAACACTGCGCAGCTGGATTTCTTCCAGTTTTCTCTTCATTGGTCACCACTGTTTGTCCCGCAGTGTAAACTTCATTCCTTTGAGGCTGTGGTTGCTGAGACTGTTGGATCATTGCCTGTCAACATTCTTGAGTCTAATGTTTTCAAATTCACTCAGTGTGAGTTGAAATTTAGGTAAGTGAAAGTAAAAAGAATCAGTTTTCTGTTGGCTTTACAGACCTTATATATCTTCGGCTACCAGAACTAGCCTTCTCCATCTCTTCTTATCTTGGGCTGTTCCTTTTTATTTATCTGCATGCAGCTCTTTCTTTGTTGATTCAAATAATGGGTGCTTATTTAATAGCAGGTAGCGTTGGACTGCTTTCTGCCAATGTTTATAACTTTAACACTAAGTTCTTCGTATTCATATTTATTGTATTATATTCATATTATTATATCTTCGTATTCATATTTATTGTACTGTATTGAAATTGTGAACAAAAACAAAAACAAATGTAACAATAAAAAAATACTTTTATTTTACAACATATATATTAAAATATACCAAAACATTATAAATATATAATTAAAAAACATTACGAAAACATTGCAACACATATATCAGAATAAATGAAATAATAAAAATAGACAAAAAATAGATGAAATAATAAAAAAACACTTAAACTGCATATGTACATATAAAAGAAACACTACGAAGAAACGATATAAACAAAATATGAAAAATTTTATTTTGGTAGGGAAAATAGTTTTATGGTATTTAAAATAGCAAGGAAGGGATCCGTCATGGGCACAAACTTCTCTTAAAAATTTGTTCCATGTTACGATAGTTGCGTTGGAAGTTTGAGCTGCTCTTTCTCCCACTGTATTGTTGTTAGATTATGGGACCACCCATAAATGAATCTTAAAGCTGTTAAAAAAGAAATCCTTGACCCCTCTAAACATGTTCCTTTTCTTATAGAAACAGTTTTGTTACAACTATGAAAGCATCTCCATTTAACTCCTTCCTGTCGAACTTCATTTGATGACCTTCATCACAATATTTGACCTTTGCAAATATCCCGGCGTCTTGAAAATATTTTATAGCCTCTTCTTCTGAAGACGGCAATTCCCAAAATGTGACAACATCCATAATTAAATAACACTAACTCACAGCTAACACAAGAAACAAAAAATAAACTAGGGAATAAATTAGGTTAGATGAGATAAGGGAGGTTATGTGGAATGAGAGATAAGAAGGGAGGTTTTGACGCTACCTGCTATTAAATAAGTACCAAATGATGCATCTAGTTGTTGGCTCCTAACTCTTGGCTACTATTGAGGTATTCATTGTTGTGTTAAGGTTTCCTGATGGATTGCTTCAAGCTGAGCTATGCGTCCCACTTATATTATCCTTTATATTCAGATGATATTAAATGACCAATGTAAGCACCTCTTTATTGATCATTCTGCACCTGATATTACTCTCATTCTAGATCACTCTGGTTATCACATGGAGCAATTTCCTCTCAAAGTTTTCCATACTTCTTTCTAGGATGCTAGTAAGTGTTTAGGTCTCGCAGCTATATATCAGTACATTCTTTATCATGCCATTGTATACCTGTAATTTGAGATTCTTCAGGATTTCAATACCTTTGAAAGATAAAGGAAAGCACTGTTTGTGCTTTTTATACGCAGGTCTATTTCTGACTAAAAATATTCAATTCCCTATCCGACGTACAGACAATACCTGGGCAATAACAAGCGAAGAAAAAGCCAATGAATTCGCTAAATATCTTGCACAGGTATCTGAGACAAACAGAATACAAGACAGTACACACACTAACACAGTAGAAGATGAATTGAAAACACCATTGCCCTTATCACTACCCCCACCAGCATTTCATCCAAAAGAAATCAACGGACTTCTGAATAAAAAAGCTCCTGGCTATGATCTGATCACTCCCTTTATTATTCGACACTTACTTAGAAAAGCTGTTCTCTTTCCTACACACATCTGTAACTTTTATCTTACGCACAACCTATTTTCCTCTCCTTTGAAAACTTTTCACAATTAAAATGATTCATAAACCTTCAAAATCTACCACTACTCCTTACCCTATCGTCCTATAGCACGTCTTTCTATAATAGGAAAAATATTTGAAAAACTTCTTCTGAGCCGTCTAAAGCCTATCTTAGAAAGTAGTGAAGTGATACCAAATCACCAGTTTGGCTTTCGTTGTTATCACTTCACTGTGGAACAGTGCCATTGGATAGTAGACGCTATCTCTGTTACTTTTGAGGAAAAGGAATACTGCTCTTCGGTCTTCCTTGACATTGAGAAAGCATTTGATAGTGTCTGGCACAAGGGCCTATTATGGAAATTAAATCCGCACTTATCTTCTGCTTGTTGGTCATTCATTGAGGTTATTGTGTAGCCAATTTCCTCGCTAAGCATATCCTGTCTGTGAATTTTCAGCTTATCATATATATTTTGTTTTATCTTCGTTTAATTTAATTTGCTCTGCTTCTCTTACCAGTCATAGTTAGCCTCTTGATGGCTTCTAAGGACAGCTATATCATCTTCAAAGATTTTATGGTTCATTCCAATAAAAGTAAACAAAAGTATATAAAAATAAATTCTTACTTAAAAATCTGATCTCTGTTGATGAATAAATCTGTATGTATAGAAATATTAACATAAAATATTTCTCTTCTAGAGTCCCTTTCCATTTTCTACTTATTTTGTTGCTGTTTTTTTATTTTGATGACATGTATACATAATAGATGGCTAGGAATATTAAATTATTTCTTGATTTGTTGAAAGATTTCCACGTTGGCTTCAGGCAGTTATTTTTTGATGGATACAATTATTTTAAATGTTTTGTATCGTTTATATTAGTACAAAGATCTTGACTGTAATTTAAAAAGTCTATTAATTGAACAATTTGAAAGGATAGCACTGCCTCCTGAATTAGGAGTGCCTCTATAATTGACAATTATTGTCTTAGAGCCTATAGCGTAGACTGTTATAGGCATTTTATTAATAACGGTATAGAGTGGTCTATATATTTGTTATAAACAGTTATATTTTGTACTGCTGTAGATTCATTGTATATACACAATTATTCATTCTTAATATTTTTAATAATGAAGTACATTTTTTTTATTTATGTAGCAATGTAATAGGAATTTTTATTTTATTTTTACTCAGAAATATATATTAATTTGTTCTTTTACTTTTTCTTGAAGGAAAGAAAGTTTACTGGAATAATTGTCTTAGCTATAATTTATCCCAATAGTCTGACAATATAAAATTTGATTGTATATTTCAATTATATATAAGCTTGTGTATGCATATATAGCCATATATATGTAACCTGGTAATTTATACATTTACTACTTATTATTTTACCGATTTTGTTGGGGGTTATTAAATTTCACTAGTTAAATACGCAACCTGGGGACTTCAGTGCACTATAACTTGGTATATCTTTGAACTTGCCCATGTTAAAGATAAATATAACCTGATTCTTATTCCATTATAATTAAAATTTTAAAAACAAAATAAAAATTAATATTAAGTGTTAACCAGAAGATAATCAAATCAATATTATATCAGGAATAATTTTTTAATCTGAAAGGATCTGTTATTACAATCTTTATATAGTGTATAGTGGCATGTGGGAATTTCTCTTCCATTATTATCATATTCTAAGTTATAATTAAATAAAATTAACACAGAAGAAAATATGGTTGAACTAATTCAATTATTAAATTCAGGTTAATTATAATAAATCATTTTCTCACAGTCCTATTAAAATATTAATGTCAGAAATATATTAATTTTTTAATTGAAGCAATGAAATGTATTCAAGATGATAAGGAAAAGAAAAAAAAATAGATCCCCTGTGTTGATTATCGGCCTTCAAAATAATTAGATCCTGTATTTTAAGCAGTTAAATTTTATTAGAATAAAGTATAAAATCAGTTATTAAATGAGAAGATGAAAGAAATTATAATTAATTATAAATTGACTTCTATTGAAATGATTTATGGAGACATTAATTGGTACTAGTCTTCGTTTGCTACTCCCAGATGATGGCCGGTTTCAAGATCACAAGACCAGGCTATTCTCAGATTCCTAATAAATGCTGAAAATAGCCGAGTATTTATTTATCGGTGGTCCTG